AGTACGTACAAACTGACCAATTCGATCACAAAATTGTTCCAACAAAGAGCTATAGTCAAAATTATTAAATGATGGGCGTTGAATGGTGACTATCTAATATGATCCTAAAGACAAGTTCAAAGTGAATATCTGCAGCATTTTCAAAGATTAATGTTGCATATAAAAGTAAGTTGTTAAGTTTAAAAAATTCATTATATATAAAGTGTATTCTGATTGGTTACCTATCTCGTGGCCAAGACTTAGCTATCTCGTTCCAACGACTTAGTAACTCGTGGCCACGACATAGTATCTCGTGGCCACGACTTAGCTAACTCGTGGCCACGACTTAGTAACTCGTGGCCACGACATAGATATTTTCCTTTGTGCATCATTATCTTTTAACTGATGTAAAGTTTTTTTTTAATTATTTGGCACAAATCACTATTATGAGGTGATGCGCAGGGCAGAACAACCAGGCTGCTACACCCATGGTCAAGGTCACTCTTGAAGGTCAAATGTATAAAGGCCAATAGTTTTTAAAACAAGTTGGCACACAGGATCAGATCACCATGATGAGAGAATGTGCAAAGTGCAACAAGAAGGTCACTACACGCAAGGTCAAAGTTACTGTTAACGGTCAACATTTCAGGTCTGCTTGATACTTTTAAACTTATTAAACTTTTTTTAAAAATAACCTGGTATAAATAATTATATTTTGAGGTGTAACATCTCACATGTTATCAGTTATAACCAGATTGTTATATGATTGTTATAATCAGTTATCAGTTCCAGTATTCTACTGCAGCAGAGGATATCTCTGTCCTTTATATATAGTTAATTTACCTCCTGTTAACTGTTAGTGCTTAAATAACAAGCAACCTTTTGTAAAAAAATAACAGGTCAATATCAGAGTATATTCACTGTTTTTCTTCTAAAAATAGATTTTCTGGAAATCCCCGAAAGACGCAAGACTATGACGTGACGTCACGCCAAGTTCGTTGTTATTCTTCTGTTGGGTGACTCGTAAATAAGAGTCAAATTAGTCTATTTTATAAGGCATTACATTTAAGAAAATTACGAATTATCGTGCCAATACGCTCATTTAAATAAAGACGGCCAAATTATGGAAAAGTAGACAAGCTGAAATTTAAAGTTTAAAATTTCCGTCGTATGCAATGACGCAGATATGGACTATCTATCGCCTCGGTCAATATTAATTTTTTTCAGTGCATATCACATCATATTCACCAGCTAAAAGTCCATATTTGTATAATATTTTACGTACCTATATTTACTTGTGAAAAAAAACATTGTTTAGGTATTAACTACCTTTGTATCTCGTTAAGAAACAAGAAAGAATTTGTTATGCAGTATGTTTATTTGTCCATATCATTTTCATACTGTGAATAAATTATCTAGAACATATCAAAAGCGTAAGTCACGTGAAACTGGACTATAAATATTATAAAATATGTTTTGTATATCAATTAATCAGTTAACCCTTATAAAATAATTAGTTATAAAGGTTTCTGATAGGTTATATGACCCGGTCAGTATAACCCACACATACTTTTAAGTCTTTTAAGTGATATATATTATTATAACGTGCTTTTGCACGGGATAGGGGGATCTGCAATCCAAATATAGAAATCCTAAATTTAAATAATTTTTAAGTAACAACTTTATTGCTTGTATAATAGTCAGATGGTGAATGTTTTGTATGCAATATATTTTAAAACATAATGAATTGTAATAGTTATAAAATAATTGCATGAAAGAAGGTTAATTGTTTAATTTTAAAAAAATAAATAAAAACACTTAAATACATGTAAAAGCTTAACACAAGCTTGTTACATAAAGCATTGGGGAAAAGCAAAGTTAATTTAACAATTGATAGATTCACTTGCTTGGCAGTGAGATAATTGTACCGAGATCTTGGTCGACATATAACCCTAGCTAACAAAATAACGCAATTAAAAATGAAGCTATCTCAGTTATTTTTTTATTCTTAAAAACGTGCCATTATATACTTATTTAACACTTTAGTTTAATTTACAATTACGGTACAAAAATAAGTTTAAATAATGCTTTTTGTAAAAATAAAACAACAAAAAACATTACAAAAAAATATAAAAATGTTAAGTTAATATATTACAACTGGTATAAATTATTTAAATTTATATGTTATAAACTTTTATTACAAACTTAAATTACTTAAAATTACACTCAATTAATGCATAAATTAATTAATTTGAATTAAAGTGGAAAAAAAATACAAAAAAAAGTAATAAGCACGATCCAAGATCTCAAAACATAATGCTTTACAAGTAATATATATGTAAATTACAATATTTAAACTTAAATTTAATGTATAACATTATACAGTTTAAAAACTAAAAATAAGATATTAGATAATCTATTAAAGGCAAAAAGCATTTTTTCTAGTATTAACAAAAACATAATAATAAATATATTTAACACACAAAAATAATAGTAATAATTTACCTGCAATTTGAATATAAAAATCATAAATTTAAATAATTTTTAAATAACAACTTTATTACTTGTATAATAGTCAAATGGTAAATGTTAACCATAAAAAGCTCTGGGTTACTTATATACAGAATTTGCGATTCAGTGCTCAAAAGCCGTAAAAAACGAGCAAAAAATCTTGTTACTTAAATTTAAAAGCATAGATTATTAGTTATTACCTTTGTATTTAATATTTTCTGGCATGTCCGTCAACTTAAAACCTTAGGCTTCCTGTACATGATTTATTACTAATTAATTTTTGCCAAAAGCTTTTAAAACTAATTATCACCTATCAATGTCTCCTAAAAGTAACACTAACAAGTTGTAAAAAATCTTATCACTTATTTACCTTTTAAAATTGTTATCTTGTTTTTATAATTTTTAAAATAATAATTTAAAATTGCAGTTCAAAATTAAAAAATTGTATAGTAAAAAAAATATAATTATCTCTACTTTTAAAAAGTAATATTTATTAAACCAGTATAATATAATTATCTGTATTTTTAAAAATTAATATAAATTAAACCAGTATTTAATACATGTAACTATAAAACAGTTAAAATAATAAAAACACAAATACAATGTTTCATTTAAAACAGTTGTTTAAAGTAAAGTTGTAAACAATTACATAATATACATTTTTAATAAATTGCATAATATACATAAACGAAATGCATAATGTTACATCCAAAAAAATAGACATTATAATAATATGCCATTTGGAATGCATGGATATGTAATTATTCAAAATATAACTTAAGTTATATAAACTTTGTTCTTTGCTTCAATTATGATCAGATAAAAGTGTCAGTAGATCTACTTTATACTGTTATAATGACAACTGTAATTGTATTAGTTGTTATCATTATATCTGAAATCGGTGTTTATATTAATAACACAATGTGGCATTACCAGCGTATATCAATGTACTGCATACATGGGACAAATAATTTAACATAGCCGGAAAAATTATCATACAGATATTGTTTTCATTTTATATTGAAAAATAGTTTACATGGGACGAATTATTAAATATATGTGAAACCAGCAAAAAGGAAGTTTGATTTAGTTAACAAATACAAACACTTTTGGAACACCAGATAAAAACAAGATGTCTGGTCGGTACGAACCGGTAAGTGTATACATATATAGTATTATATAACTTTTGCTGACGACGCGCGGTTGTTATTAAATATCTGATCAAAGGGACGGCGAAATCTATTCTGTATTTTTAATCGATGAATACCTACTTTATTTGTTCTTAAACAGCGAGAATTTTGATACTGAGCAACGAAAAAATATTTGAATCAAAACAAATGTGTAACAACTTAGTGATTACGTCACAAGGTACCCCAGTAAGTGATAACTGGTAACATTAAGACAGTATTTTAGACGGGTTTGATTTTCAGTTAAGAGTCTGACGGCATTTTTCATTACAAGCAGGTAGTCAATCGTTTTTACATAATTCGGGTACGCTGAATCCATTTTTTGCACTACCACGGCTGTCCTCGACCTTCTAAAGGTCAAATCAAAAAAGCCACCTTAATTTGTCCTTTACTGAAAAAATTATTATTTCTGGTACATATTGTTTAGTATGTCCATTAATCTACATGAAGTAAAGTTTCAATTACTTTAAGGAGAAAATGGCTGATAATTATACATGCTTCTCACATTTACTGCTATGCCGGTCATCTTTGATTTCAAAATGGACACCTCTTAATAACAAATATAAGTAAAGTGCTTTTAAACAAATGGATCCTTCTGTAAGTAAAGTGCTTTTAAACAAATGGATCCTTCTGTAGGAATGACTACTAAAATTGTATTATGATATGAGCAACAGGTCATGTTGAATTGTACTCACTGTGTAGATAAACTGCACACTTAAATTTACACCATTACTTCAAACCATCACAGGCCATTCTTTATGGACAATTAATCTATATCATGTATCTGAGATCCCAAATGCCTTACATAAAACCTGCACATTTTAATTTACCATTAAATAAGTATTAAAGCTTTCTGTATTTTGATAGAATATCATTTGTGTAAACCTTTATGGACACTAGATCATTTTATAATTTGAATGCCAAGAGTCAAGGTCATTATGTAAATATTTTAAATATTGCCTGTCATCTTCACAGGTCAGCGACTATATCTCTGGGTCCGCATGTCTTTGCAACAATATCTATTGTACGGCCCGATTTAAAATTAAAAAAAAAAACATCAACAGAATCCCTAAAAACGATTAAAACGGCAAAATTGGAAACTTTGTAGGCTCGATTTGATTGAGCCTGTACATGGACAGTACTGGAAATTGCAAGGTACCGTCCAGGCACCCTAGCACCGGCCTAGGCAGAATTCATATATCAAAGGGGGAAATTGTGAAATTTGAAAACTCAGATTCATCCGCAGATGTGTTATTTTCTATTGTTGTATTGATATAGCTACTTTTTAAAGGGTCATATTTATCAATCAAACTTTAAACATGCCTAGACATGGTTAAAACAGATCACCTATTTATTAATTGAAATAAACTCAAATAAATAGTAAATTCATTTTAATCTTTATGAACCATAAACAGTCTACGAGCTTGCACTGTTTTATGGTTAATAAATAATATAGAGCAAAAGATTATAAGTCTATCAAGGGTATTTGATGACGGTACATGCATAGAAGATTAGACAGTTAATCGATGCCAAATCTGCATTTATTATATTGACGATTCACTGCTGTGTACCCTTTTTACCACCACAGAATGATTTGATAGAGCATTTTGGTTTTATGCAACTCAATCATGTAAAATATATGCCGTGACGTCGAAGCCTATGTCTTTTAGTAAATTTTATTTACTTAACTGAAAATATGAGATTTTCTGCGTTTTGTTTTAATTCATTTATTCATTGTCTTAGTTGATATCAACGTTAACATTATATGTCACTTTGCCAAGGCCGCTGCGCCTTATTCTATCTCACGTTTGTGACTAAGATAAAATCAAATGTTCATACTTTTATTGTTCTTTGCTATCTTTCAAGAAAATGATGGAGTATCTTATTTCATTATGATATAACATATTTTTGATATCATTTTCCGCAGTATAATTATTTTATCTCATATTTTCAATTCCATAAAATTACGTTGGTATTTCTTAGTGTAGTTTTAGTCACTAAAATGTGTACCAACTATTTTTGCACTATCCTGACAATTATTTAAAACAAAGATTGACAAGGGTGTGCCACTTGAAATGTCTCTGACGTTTGGCTCAGTTAAGGATCCATTGTTGCTTGGTCGTGTTTGGGTTACGTTCATTGAACGCCGGCTATCCTTGTAAATCTTGTTTTCCATTTTTTACATTGAAGGCATGGTTACTGTAGTCTTACAAGTCTTACAAAAATTAAAAACATTAAGAAGCATTTATTTATATCTTCAGTATTTCTTATTATTTTAAATGGCATCCATGAATAAATGCCAAAGATATAGACACAACCATCAATGTTCTAAATTGACCTATATAGCTATCAACCTAGTGTTTCAGCATTACAAGTAGTCCTATTGTGCCACAAAAGTATGCCTAGTTACGCCAATATCCATCCAATGACTGACAAAATTCATGACCGGACGTGACATTCAAAATATTTATATGAAATAAAATATGACCTTTAATGTCTGAAATCTTACTTTATGCGACAATTCTTTTCTCACTTCAGAATAATTGTTTCAAAGTGCCATGTATTTATTCTTAGCTCTCGCTGAATAACACATATATGGACTGGACATGGCCACTAATGCACTCTCATATGATGACTTTAGAAATACAAGTGTGATCTTGGAACATTTGTCCGCTACATGTCGTCTTACAAAGAGGCGCCATATTTGTCCCAATTGATTTTTTAATTCATCTATGAATGACAAAATCGTTAACCAGACTTTTTAGACACTTTAAGGAAATATTTTGTTTGAAGTGAAAGTATGATTTTGGTCTTTGATTTACATCATCAGCTGTGGTTTACAGGTGACTCATTGTCCCAAAGTGCAATATATTTATGCAGAATTATTTCAAAAAGCATCAATTATTGAGAAAGTTATAGATCGGACAAAACCATCTTGTCACGTTTATATCACGATTTATGATGTAGAAGTTTAACTGTAGACATAACCATGCTTGTGCATGACACGACCTTTTCGAATTACACATTTACGCAAAATTATTATCGTTCCAGGACGGCGGCATATACAATTAACAAGATTTAAATATTTTTACCCGTACACCGCGTGCTCTAGGTCAATCAAAACAGAGAATTTAATACCACATGATAACAAAATAGACGACAAAAGCCTCAACCACCATGTTCTTGTCAGGTTACCTATATATAAGCAAACGAAATACTATCCTCATGCACGAAGCTCGGCACTAGTATGTAGGGGTTTCTATGGGATAAACACTATGTGGAATATTTCTCTTACAAGAAGAAACATTAACTCTATTATTCAGGAAAGGAGTCTATTCCATGGAGAATAAAATATTTTTCGAATGCCAGCCTGGATGGCGATTCCTATAGTTATTTTGGAAATATTAAAATCTATAAACTCGGAAGACTTTTTTTAAATATCAACTCGTGCATGAAAAATTGTTGACCGGGTTCCCCACTAATGAACAAAATTGTCTTTCTTGAAAGACATGACCCTGATCTTTGGACTGTTAAATTGGCTCTCAGGCACTACACGTCCCAGTACATGTTCTTGCGCAATTGACATTGACATAAAAAAAATAACCAAACAATTTTCATGGTATCCCTGTTTGAAGATTAAGTAATAATATAAAGTACATCATCTCACAATGCGTTATTAGACCGTATATTTATGCTTAACAATTTCCATATCCATCTCTTAATGACAGAATACAAAATTTATTTTTCAAGCACTTTCAAGTCTAACTTGAGGAGTTGAGCGTCTTTCTTATGACATTGTCTCAATGTGCCACACATTAATTAATGTAATTTATTTCAAAATCTATCCAAAAATGACAGATATGGAATGGCGGCCATTTTGAAATTGATTTTTAAAGGTCATGGACTTAAAATACAGCAGTGGTAGAGCAAAAAATGAATTCCGCGTACTCGAAATAGGTAATTAAGCCCAACTACCTGCTTGTACCAGAAAATGCCGTTAGGATGCACATTTTCCCAAAATCAAACCAGTCATGGACAAATTGACTCTCACATTACGTACATCATAAAAATTGCATGCCGCCATAAATCGACAGAAAAGTGATAGGAAATGACTTTTGTGTTTCATTCTCTAGAACATTGGTGATTGTGGTGACGAAAAGAAACCTTTGGTGGAAACAGAGCAGACTGGTACGGTTGAAACTGTTAAACCACTTCCGGTCTGGAGAAAAATATGTTTTGCTGTAGGCGGCGCTCCTTACCAGACGACAAATACTGTGATCAATTTCTTTCTATCGATATTCCTCCTAGAAGTTGCAAAGGTAAAAAAATGATGATATTTTAAAGGAATTAAAATACGGTGTTTATTTGTTGTCTATGTATTTTATTTATCTTTAAATTTTCGATTTATGGTCAACAATTCATTTAACATAATTAAATTTTATCTATTATTTTACAGAGTCGGTTAATTTAAATAATCTTATTTCTCTATGTTTTTAATCAATTCGTTCTTTTCAAAATATAGCAGTTCATATTTCAATATGTCTGTCCAGGGTCTAAAACGACTTGGTTTGTTCAAATAGGTTTGTTACAATTCAATATTATAACACAGATACTAAAATACAACATAAACACATGTTGTTCATGTATATATAAATGTTTTCCAGTTTCAGAAGTTATTACTTTATAGCACATAGTGATATTTCTGAGATGTGCATCGCAGTTCTTCTACATTATCTCGTGCACTAAGAATATATTTTTTTATTCAATGTTTTTGTATTGTTTTTTGTAGATACCACCAGGGTATGTGTCCATAATATTTTTTGCTGAAAAAGCATGGGATTCCATAACCGATCCCACGTGCGGATATATTGTACATAAAACTGACACGCGGTTTGGGAAGTATAGACCATGGTATGTATTTTATGAAATTTATGTCAGACATGACCGAGTTTTAAAGCATCTGTATTTGAATGTTAGGATTGATCATATTAAAAGTCAAATTACGTGTACTTTTCATGCTAATTATTAGGGCACGGCGTTAAAAAATTTTTCGGAGTTTACCAATTTGTTTATCATTAATTTAGATACAAACATAACATATCATATTCAAAATAAATTATATCCGCAGTAAGGGATGTTAAAACAATTGTACGTAATATAATTACATACGTTTGTCATATTCAGAAAAAAGTAATAATGGCCGGCTGTCCATATATATATAATAATAATAATAAAAAGAATAATGTTCAATAACACATGATTCTGTTTCTGTAAATAAATTCATTTGAAAAAATCTACGACTTTGTGCATGAATATCAAAATCAATTAAAAATAATAGACGTGGGGTCTGTTACAGCTTTTAACATTTGTTTTTGATTTTGTTGATCATATGTCGTAGTTAGTCTCCTAGCAGACTAGGTTTTCCCTCCGTCCGTATCTCTGACCGTCCTTCTGTCTGTCCACAAAAACTGGATCCTGTGATAACGCAAAAAGTACTAAATATATTTTCACGAAACTTGATATGGTAAAAACATAGTTAAATATAACAATTTTCGGAAGAGTATAACTGTTAGCTGTATAAGCATTTTTTCACGTATTCATATTGAAATTTGATTAAAACATAGCTATAGTGAAATGAAATGACGTTGTTTAAGAGAGAACAGGATCTAGATACTATAGAGTGAGGCATATTTTATCTTCTAGGATTCTACTGTCGGCACCGTTTGCATGTGGGTCATACTTGTGTATGTGGTATGTGCCGGATATATCGGATGTAGGGAAGTTCGTCTGGTATTTCTGTTTCTACTGTGGCTTTCAAATGTTTTTATCGGTATGATACATCATTAATTTTGGTATTTCGTTTCGAGGCAAATACAAAGTTAAATAATATATTGCTTTAAAAACATACGTTATTTATGTTTCTCTGTAGAAGAGGGAAAAGAAAAATGTTGGTTTGATGATGTTTGTAACCGTCACTTTGTAACAATTGTAAATATACATGTTTAAATTATGCTTCGTTTCGTAAGGTTTCATGATTGTTAACCGTTATTAAATGAATCATGAATAACAACTATTGTCAGACTCAATGTTTTCAATCACATACTAGTAGCTTCTTAAGAAAAAATACCACACCGAGCATGTATTTATCAAATAATACAAAATATGTTTCTGTCAATATACCTAAGACCATTTTATATTTATTACAAAGTAATTATTTATTTTTTTCAAGTGTAAAAGATACTTTAAGTTAGCGTTTTTAACAATATGCGTCAATGAGATTTTATCTGCAATTATTTCTATCCAATTGAAGGGTTTACATGTCCCGTACACTTCAATGACAAGGAAAATGACTATAACTTATTCTCAGAAAGATCAGGATTCTGCCACAAATTACAGTAAGTAAAGATATCTGTCACAGCTTATAGAAAGTGAAAAAGATATCTGTCACAGCTTATAGAAAGTGAAAAAATATCTGTCACAGCTTATAGAAAGTGAAAAAAAATATCCGTCAAAGCTTAAAGAAAGTAAAAAAATATCTGTCACAGCTTAAAGAAAGTAAAAAATATCTGTCACTGCTTATAGAAAGTGAAAAATATCTGTCACAGCTTAAAGAAAGTGGAAAAAATATCTGTCACAGCTTAAAGAGAGTAAAAAAATATCTGTCATAGCTTAAAGAAAGTAAAAAATATCTGTCACAGCTTAAAGAGAGTAAAACATATCTGTCACAGCTTATAAAAAGTGTAAAAATATCTGTCACAGCTTATAAAAAGTCGAAAAATATCTGTCACAGCTTATAGAAAGTGAAAAAGATATCTGTCACAGCTTATAGAAAGTGAAAAAGATATCTGTCATTGCTTATAGAAAGTAAAAAATATCTTTCACAGCTTATAGAAAGTAAAAAATATCTGTCAAAGCTTATAGAAAGTAAAAATATCTGTTACTGCTTATAGAAAGTGAAAAGTATCTGTCATAGCTTAAAGAAAGTGGAAAAATATATGTCACAGGTTAAAGAGAGTAAAAAAATATCTGTCATAGCTTAAAGAAAGTAAAAAATATCTGTCACAGCTTATAGAAAGTCGAAAAATATCTGTCACAGCTTATAGAAAGTGAAAAAGATATCTGTCACAGCTTATAGAAAGTGAAAAAGATATCTGTCACTGCTTATAGAAAGTAAAAAATATCTTTCACAGCTTATAGAAAGTAAAAAATATCTGTCAAAGCTTATAGAAAGTAAAAATATCTGTCACTGCTTATAGAAAGTGAAAAATATCTGTCACAGCTTAAAGAAAGTGGAAAAATATCTGTCACAGCTTAAAGAAAGTAAAAAATATCTGTCACAGCTTAAAGAGAGTAAAACATATCTGTCACAGCTTATAAAAAGTGAAAAAATATCTGTCACAGCTTATAAAAAGTCGAAAAATATCTTAAGGAAAGTAAAAAATACAGTTAGTACGTTTTTTATATACATACGTAAACATACGTATATATATGTACATACATACACATATATATATATGTATAACGGTTCTACAATTAACACACACTCACTTAAGAACAAGTTTTATTATTTTAATGTTGTGTCATCAGGAAAGGTTAGTTTTCAGGTATAATCAGTATATTAGAATAGTACAAGAACCTCCAAATAGAGCGAGCGTTAGTGAGCGACATTGGGGGTTTAATCATTGATTTGTTGTTGTTTTTGTACCAAATTAGGCTTTCTTATAGGAATGGTATCTGAAGCATTTGGTGTATTGTTAGCGGTTGTTGTAGAAGGTCAACTCGTTGGTAAATACAGAAAGGCAGGTGATTGTGCTGACAATGGAAAAACATCTGATGATCAAATTGAAAATGAGGTATACAACATTATCGTATGTGGAGAGCTAGTGACCTTCAGAGGTATATTGTATGCTTAAATGACGAGAAGACATGTTGGAAAATCCTGACTTTACTTTATTCTAACATTTGATGCCTGAGTAAGAATGGTGAAAACGCGATGATAGGATGATTAAATACGATTTAAATACGACCGATTTATCGTAAAGTCGCGATATCACAATCGTGTCATTTAATAATCGCGAGTTAAGACAAAATGAAATTATTTCACTTTGGCAATGCTTTGCAGCAATTTATTTACATAGCAACCATTAACTTTCATAGCAACTAGTGATTTCCATAGCAACTACTAATTTTACACAACAACTAGTGACTTCTATACAAACATTTAACTTCCTATAACCACCAGCGACATCTATGGCATATATCGACTTCCCTGTGACACCCATTGTCTTTCCTTAACAAACAGTGACTGCCATAGCAATCATTTACATTCCATAGAAACGAATGCCTTCCATAGCATTTTTTCTCCGTAGGAATCACCGAATTTTTTATCTGTACACTAGTTCGGATGCAACTTCGAACTATGATGTAAGTCGACCTAGATTTGACCTTATAGCTACATATATAGCAGTCGAGCGATAAAACATCATTGCCCTTGTTTGTTTGTTAGTTCGTTTGTTTGTTTGTTAAATATAATTAATGTTATTTATTTATTTATTTATTTAAATAATGATAAATAATTTAATCTTATTTATTTATGTATTTATTTATTTATTATAGAAAGGCGCATACATCTTAGGAGCAGTAATTGTAGTGAGTGCGTACATGATCTCTGCAGTCACAGTTTTCTTTGGATCAAGAGATTTCAGTAACTAATTGACTTTCTTAGTTAATTTTACAAGATGTCTCTAGAAGCAGCATTTCATCTTAACACTTTCTACAATAGGCTATAATTCCATAAAGTTTAATAACTCTTTACCAGCTGGAACGAAAAAATATATAATGCACATCCGTCCGTCTAACATGACTCTATGTTGTTTCATTTTTTATCTTGATAACCACGAATCTGTGAATGGACAGTTAATGGACAATAATGGAAGTTGAACAAGTTAAAGTAATAGCAATGTATTAAGGTTTGGTTTTTAAGTCACACCGAAACCAAAAAGTCATATTTCGACTGTGGACGAAAACCTCTGGTATCCCGGCCTCCGTGCGATCCTTTATCCTGAATAGAATCACTGATCTTTCGTAAGCTAGTTGAATAAATGAAGCATTTAGATTTAGGTTTGATTATTTCAAAATAAGGGGTAAAGTATTGATAGGTTCCATTTTCGAGGTTTTAAGGGGATCAATGTATTGATAAGTTTATTTATTTTACCGGTTATGTTTTGGCGTTCAATGCAGGGGAATAAAAATTGATATTTTTTTTTATATTTTCTAGGTTCAGCGGATTCTGATGGATTTTTCTCTGGTGCTAAACAAGTTCTAACGTTCAGACCTTATGTTTTATTGTGCACTTCTTTTCTGTTTTTGTCTCTTGCAATAGCGGTATGTTTGGTTTACATGTTTACGTAATACTTTAAATAAAAGTTGCACGCTAACAACTAATACCCTTTGTCCCCGAAGAATTAGCATATATAATAAGCACCTGTATATTCTGCCTGATACTTTCGCTCAATAAACGGTTGAAAATGTTGCAATAGATGTTTTACTGCCAGGTGTTTTAACTCTTATTATGCAGAAATTCTTATATGGACTTGTCTTGCTTCTATTTTTCTGGACTATCCATTATTTATTTTAGAGATATCAAGATGAACATTTAAAGTAAGTAAGTCAACATTAAAGTTCCTGATCAGACTGCACGGACGGACAAACTTGCTTGGCTTCATACTCGTTGCAAAGGCTAATTATATTCGGTTCAAGCAGTTTAAGGGGTAACATTTACCATGAAAGTACCGGAAGTGTTAAGCCAGCAGTATAGAGTCCGAACAATTTCAGTCTGGCTGTATGATAATTTACACGCGATCTTAAGTGAAAGTAGATTTTATTTGCTACGGAAACATTTACGTAATTAAAACTGAACTTAAAATATAATGTATTTCAGATTGTACAAGGAAACTTGGCTTTGTTTTGTACACATACATTGAAAATGGGGGATGACTTCTCAAATCTTATTTTAGTTTTATTGGTAGGTTGTTTTGGGTTTTTTTTGTTCTTTTTCCCCCCTTTTTCGTGTTGTTGTTGTTTTCGTTTTATCAGTACATGTTGTTGTTGAAGAAATTGATTTTTTGTTTAACTATTCATTTTTATTGGTAAGTGGCACAAAATATCTAAAACTTTTCTGATTACTTATGAAACAATTATTCTGTAACTTTTTAATCCCATTATGAGCCTGGCATGGTCTCAACCTGAAGATAACATGATATAAATTATATTTTATATTTAAGGTTTGTACAATAGCGGCCATGCCGCTCTGGCAAAAATGCATTGTCAAGTTTGGCAAAAAAACAACTTTTGCCACTGGAATGATAGTAGGTTGAGTATGTTATACATGTTTAGAAAATATTTGTTGCCTGTTAGGTGAAATATTGTTTTTGTCTCAGTGAGAAGAACTGTACATGTATATCTTTATATTCCCAAGTTTCGGATATTGGGGGAGTGAAATGAAAAAATAATTTTGAAACTATATAATTTGTGCAATTTCTATTAAGAATAGTCACAGAAATGCTATTAACGTAAAAGAGAAAAGAAACAGACAGTTCTCATAATTAATGATAAGCAATGGGTATTTATCAATTATATTTCACTAATGTACACCTATTGTGATATCAAATATAAAAGGAAATAATGGTTACAATATAAATGCATGTACCTTTAATCTATGTGCTCTGTAATTTGTTACGGCAGAACCTCTTAATTGTACATTATTTCATTTTTACTTTTTATAATCAGATAAGCGTTGATTCTTTAAAATACTTTTGCATAATATATGTTTGACAGAGAACTCATGAAATAAATTTTAAAACAATGGCAAAATATGCTGAATATTTGGAATATTTTAGTTTTTTATCCCGATCTTGATTGTCCAGCTGTATATACCAGAAGGAGAGGTGTACTGGTTTTATCCTGTTGTTGTAATTGCCGGAATTTCAATAGCAGTGGCTTTACTTTTACCATGGTAAGATATAGTACGGCACACACAGAAATTACTCTACTCTCACATACATAAATTAAGCATTGGAGCATGGGGCCTCGGGATCAGAAACACTTGTTAGATTAACCCAAAGTCTATCCATTCTCTAGATTATGTTAAGCAAAAATGTTTTAACCCTTGACATCAAAAAACTGTTCACACGCTGACTTACACACACACATAGCTTCAAATCGCACTGATATACTATAGAGTTATCCAGATATCATTGCCTGAAACATCACCTATACAACTTCAAACTCTCGGGCAAACATGAGTTATCCAGTCATTGCCATTGCCTTAAACGTCAACTAAACAACTTCATATCGCTCTGACATACAGGAGTTATACAGTTATTGCCATTGCCGGTTGTTATTGCTTTTTTCCATCCTTCGATTGTTCAAGAAAAGCACAAAGATAATATGACTTGTTATCTGTCAGTCTGTTTAGATTTGATTATATCCTTTGCTAGATCCCACTTCTGAATGAAAACATATAAAACCTGCCGTTATATATATTATTATTATTAGTCATATGTCATTAATATGAATATGTCATGTTTTCCAAGATACGTTTTCTTTTCAAATTTTCTAAACATAGACTTTGTAATCTAAAAACATGTTTTGGCAGTTTGAATTGTATGAAAAATAAAATTTGTAGTACAAAATGTATATACAATCATTCATTAATGAAAGTATGTTCTCTTATATATACATTATATATTTATACAGGTCGATGTTGACAGACGTAATAGACGAATTCGTTTTGAAGTATGGGAAAGGAAAAGAACATATATTTTATTCGTTCTATGTATTCTTTAGTAAACTATCAATAGGTGTAGGACTTGGTATTTCTCAGGCAGTTTTAGCGCAAGTATATTTTAATATAAAAATAATGCTGCAAATTAACAATCTCTTGCACACTGGCGTCTGCTTTGAGGTTGGTATATTGATCATCCAACATTCTATAACCTGTACCCTGTCTGTAGATTCCTGTCCTCTAACATTCTATTTCCTGTACCCTGTCTGTAGATTCCTGTCCTCTAACATTCTATAACCTGTACCCTGTCTGTAGATTCCTGTCCTCTAACATTCTATTTCCTGTACCCTGTCTGTAGATTCCTGTCCTCTAACATTCTATAACCTGTACCCTGTCTGTAGATTCCTGTCCTCTAACATTCTATAACCTGTACCCTGTCTGTAGATTCCTGTCCACTAACATTCTATTCCCTGTACCCTCTGTGTAGATTCCTGTCCTCTAACATTCTATTTTTTGTACCTTGCCTGTAAATTCCTGTCTTCTAACATTCTATAACCTGTACCATGTCTGTAGATTCCTATCCTCTAACATTCTATAACCTGTACACTGTCTGTAGATTTCTTTCCTCTAACATTCTATAACGTGTACCCCGTCTGTAGATTCCTGTCCTCTGACATTCTATATCCTGTATCCTCTCTGTAGAGTTTTTTCTTCTAACATTCTATAACATGTACCCTGTCTGTAGATTCCTGTCCTCTAACATTATGTACCCTGCCTGTAGATCCCTATCCTCTATCATTCTATAACCTGTACCCTGTCTGTATATTTCTTTCCTCTAACACTCTATAACCTGTACCCTGTCTGAAGATCCCTGTCCTCTAACATTCTATACCTGTACCCTGTTTGTAGATTCATGTCCTGTAACATTCTACAACCTGTACTCTGTCTGTAGATTTCTTTCCTCTAACATTCTATTACCTTTACCCAGTCTGTTGATTCCAGTCCTCTAACATTCTATAACATGTATCCTGTCTGTAGTTTGCTGTCCTCTAACACTCTATAACTAGCCTGCACCCTGTCTGTGAATTACTGTCCTCTTACATACTTCAACCTGTACTCTGTATGTAGATTTTTTCCTCTAACATTCTATAATATGTACCCTGTCTGTAGATTCCCGTCCTCTAACATTCTATTACCTGTACCCTGTCTGTAGATTCCTGTCTTCTTACATTCTATAACCTGTACCCTGACTGTAGATTTTTTTTCTCTTATATTCTATAACCTGTACCCTGTCTGTAGATTTCTTTCCTCTAACATTCTATATCCTGTACCCTGTCTGTAGATTCCTATCCTCTTACATTCTATATCCTACTCCCTGTCTGTAGATTTCTTTCTTCTAACATTCTATAACCTTTACCCTGTCTGTAGATTCCTTCCCTCTAACATTCTATTACCTGTACCCTGTATGTAGATTCCTATCCTCTAACATTCTATATCCTGTACCCTGTATGAAGATTCCTATCCTCTAACATTCTTTTACCTGTACCCTGTATGTAGATTCCTATCCTCTTACATTCTATAACCCTAACCCTCTAACCCTAACCCTAACCTGTACCCTGTCTGTAGATTCCTGTCCTCTAACATTCTATAACCTGTACCCTGTCTGTAGTTTGCTGTCCTCTAACATTCTATTTCCTTTACCCTGTTTGTAGATTCCTGTCCTCTAACATTCTATAACCTGTACCCTGTCTGTAGATTCCTTCCCTCTAACATTCTATTTCCTGTACCCTGTCTGTAGATTTCTTTCCTCTAACATTCTATAACTTGTACCCTGTCTGTAGATTCCTTCTTTCTAGTCACCTTTTCAGATTTTATTTCCTCTTCTCTGCTTCCTCCCCTAGTTTTCTGTTGAAGTTTTCTGTTCCAGGTTCCTCGATCTGAACGTGTTGTTCTGTCCCCTTGAAGATTTATGTTTCATTTTTGTTTAGGTGTTCCGGGCAGATTTCTGTTTCCTGTCCCGAAATTCTCCTTCCAGATTTCTGTTTGCCCCCGCTTTAATGTCGGCTTCCTGTTAACTCACGGGGGGGGGATCACGTGACTTTGTAAAGTAATACCCACGAGAAAATGGCCACTGCTGAGCCCCGGTAAGTACCTTATTATGTTAAATAAAGGTAACAAACGTTTCTTAAATCAAAACAAAACCTAGCGTATCATATGCGCCGTAATTTTCTTCAAATGACAATACAAAGTGCATTATTCTACGTTTTGTGGTTTTTGAGAACATTGTTTGAATTGTGTGAAAATTGCACATGCAGCGATAGTAATTCGCACGAAGCGATATAATTTGGTACCAAAATAAATGAAAATAAGCTTTCTTACTGCACTTAAGACACCAAATCAATCATTTTATTGACATCTGTTCTTGTAGAAGTCCATATAAAATATATTTTCGAAGGTCTATAGCCTACAGATGTTCTTTACAAGTGTATAGAAAGTCGCACGAAAACAAAATAGTAAGTTTCACGCACAGTTTCCAATAGCATACATATACATTAAAAGAAAGTTAAAGTTCATATGTTTAGAGATAGAAAATACTTATTTCAATTATGCAAGATCAAATATTTCACTTTTTGTCTATAGGACGATTCTTAATTGGTTGTTTTTATAATGTATTAAATGAACTTTTGGTGGGATTTAATATCACACGGCTCAGTGTTATTTTTCTTTGCGATAGTAGTTCTTTGACCTTTGCAGTGTCAGGTGTGTCTTGGCTCTCATTTTATGTAATTAGAAGAAAGATGAACAAATATGATATTACTTGTTATTTGTTATGGTGATGTTTATTAACTGAATGCTGATGTTTTTATATGGCGGTATGTGTGACATTTAGTCACTATGTTACTTAATTTATGAAAATATATTAAAGAATTCGCAAGAACAAAATAACTTCTTACAAAAAAAGAACAAAAAAACACCACCAGCAACAACAAAAAACAACAATGAAACAGTGATTCAAGTTATGATTAAAGGCGCATTGTGCCTCAGAAATCCACATTGTTTTAATTCTTTAGAAATGTCAAACATGTGTTTGATAATGTTTAAATAATGGATAAAACACATGATAGTATTTTATTACAACTGAAAAAGGTAGCGCTGAACATTAAGTGATGTGTCGTAAAGGTAGCAAAATGTAAACAAAGTAGTATTTTGACTTCCATACAAAATACTTATTCACTCAAGGTATACTAATTGCCAACAGTACCAAAGATGCAAAAGATTGTTTGAGTATCTAGCAAATGAGTATGTTTTCGGAAACTGTAACAAGATACCAAAAATAAACAGGTTTTTTAAGCCATGGACGCCCTTAATATCTTATTTACTTACTATATCACAAACAAAAAGTAAGAGTTTACGAGCAATACATTTGCACATGGTAAGAAAATAAGCGTATAGTAATACATAACGTTTAAACAAAACATCATGGTTATATTTATAAATTCTGCCATTGTATAAAAGAATAAATTCAATAAAAACTTTGTATACCAGTTCTATGATGGCAATAAATATCAATGTGATATGGCGAATGTCTTCTCCTTTGCGTTTTTGGTCCAAATTGCAGATACTGAAAAGTAAATGATAGTGTTGTAATATTTCCTTCTGCACAGTTATTTCTTTAAATATCTAGTTCTACAGATAACGGATGTGGGTCCGATCTAACGTGAAAAAGGGCCATGTGGAAAGTATATTGTTGAGTATCAATGTCAATGTCTCATTTATTTTTTTCTAAGTTAAGTAATCTTTTATGAAATTATATGAATACATGTATTATGAAATAATATGAATTATTATTAAAATACTTTCTCGACATTTGTTCTCTGTCACCGTAGATGGAACACACTTGCAAATTGGTAACCATAATTACTATTAGATAGATTCGTCACATGTTAGTAAGCTATTGGAAACTGTGCGTGAAACTTATTATTTTGTTTTCGTGCGACTTACTATCCAGAAATTGTTCGTTTTACTTACCAAACACTGGCAAAGAACATTTGTAGGCTACAGACCTTCGAACAAAATTTTATATGGAATTCTACAAAAACAAATGTCAATAAAATGATTGATTTGGTGTCTTAAGTGCAGAATTAAAACTTATGTTCATTTATTTTGGTACCAAATTATATCGCTTCGTGCGAATTACTATCGCTGAATGTGCAATTTTCATACAATTCAAACAATATTCTCACAAAACGTAGGATAATGCACTTTGTATTGTCATTTGAAGAAAATTACGGCGCATATGATACGCTAGGTTTTGTTTTGATTTAAGAAACGTTTGCTACCTTAATTTAACATAATAAGGTACTTACCGGGGCTCAGCACTGGCCATTTTCTCGTGGGTATTACTATACAAAGTCACGTGATTCCCCCCCACCCGGTGCCGTCTCCAGTTTCCCTTGGAAGATTTCTTTTACCTGTTGCGTGTTTCCAGATTTTTGTGGAAAATTTCTATACATGTGAATTATACGTTTTTTCCTTTAAATAGTATGCTTGTTTAAAATGTTGTCAGCCTTACATTTACAATATTTAAAGCAAACAAGCAATAAATATACATGTAATTTGATGCGATAAACAATAGAAAATAAGAGAACATATTTTTTGAAGAAGTATAGGTCTTAAGTCTGATACAATAAGTGAGTGGAACTCATTGCTTGGTGGTCCATATGTAACGTTTAGCCCATGATAGTATGAGTTACCGCCCTTTAATATAGTTACGCCATTTGTATGTCAAAATTCTGGAAGCAAAGCAAGAATTCTGTGTTTTCTTTAAAGGTTTTGTTTGTTTACATTCCAAGTAAGTATTACTTTCGCATGAATCTTTCTAAATGAGGTAGTATCATTTATGTTTTTCATAAAAACAAGTAAATTAATGTTTCTGTGAGCCATTTTAACAATATACGTTTGGAATACGTATTTTCATTAGACGTTTGAAGCATAATGAAGTATGATAAGCGTCTCTATAATACAGATTGTTTTTATCAGCCAATGAAATTGTTTTACGCACTAGTGAGCATCTCAGCTGCTATAAATACCGGCTCATTGTAGAATTTGT